GTGTTTTAGGCCCGTCGCTTCTTCTGGAAGGCGAGCGCGGCAGCCCAGCGGGAAGGGAGAGGGAAAAGCCCCGCCCCGCCGCCCCCTGCCCTCGGCTCCCCGGCAGCACTGCGCGGGTGAGGGGCGTTCTGCTGCTGCCGCCCCGCTACCTGGGAGATAAAGCAGCTTTATATTCAGCTTTATATCCAAAGAAGAAAAAGGTTCACTACATGTGAAAAATAAACAGGCGGTACAAAGGACATTTTTCCACGAAGAAAGCAGGCCAGCTCGGCACCATGCGGGGCAGATTAGCCACAGCTTCTCTTCAGTGAAGAGCAGCCCCCTACCCGGGTGCTTTATATGCCCAGCTCATCTTGCCACCCCTGCTATTTACAGCTTAATGAATCCAGCACCCGAACCATTAATCCCAGTCTTTTGTGAGACTATTTCCCCAAACACAGGACATAAAGAACAGAGGAGGGACTGAAAGCACAGCGGTGAGAAGGGGGCTTTTCCCTCAGAATCTCATTTAATTTTTAAAAATTTAAAAATCCTTAAAGCTCTTTTACAGAGCTTGCCCTATCCCATGTATATGGCTGACTGATCTAGGGCATTAGATGAGTCAAGCTCACTGCTGCCGAGATGGGCAGTCCCGTTCCTCCTGGCCCAAACTAGCCCCCCTCCCTCGCCTGGTCCTGGCTGCTATCGGAATGAGCCTGGGAGAGGGGAGCTGGCAGCGAAGTTCCAAAGCAACTCCACTGACTCCCCAGAGGTACGCTGGGGCCATTGGGTGACCGCAGACTGAAAACTCCAGTTCTTGTTCATAGGGAGGGGGAGAAGCAGATGGAAAACAAGCAAACACACCACACAAACTACCTCCGAACCCCACACCCATTTCTTCAGGTGGATACACAAGCAAATGCACAGAGACCCTCAGGCCCAGGACCCGTTCAGACGTACTGCACAAGAAATAAGCTGACCTGTAAGCCACTACACAAGTGTAACTCAGCATTCAAGCGTGTATGTCCGGCTGGGATACTAGGAATCCAGAAAGCCCAGCCACATACCCCAGCTCCTCCGTTTTTACCTGGAAAAAAGCATGCCTATGCTCAAGTAGGCTCCTAAGGGGTTTAGGAGCGCAGTTTAACGTTTCTTAAGTAATAGAAATCTCAAACCTTCTTCTCTGGAAGGAAAATGATCTGTTCAGCAGCCAAGTTTCAACCATGAGCACCAGGACTGATAGAGGTGATTCACTGAAAACCAATCAAAACCATATAATTCCACCCTCTAAAAAAAAAAATATTAGAAAGGTAAACTTTATTTTTGACGAAGAAAAATAGTGTAGATACTCATCTGAATATTCTGTTTACAGGATATAGTTACTGAGATTGCATTTAATACAGCACTCACCTATTTCCATTTTCCAAAGTCTAGTTTGCTCACACCCTATCATTCTTTTACAGACAGGTTATATTTTAGGATTACATTTCATATGAAAAAAAGAGCTATCTTTGCTAGGCTGTCTGAATTCCACCAAGGCTACCCCATATCTGGTCCTGCCTGACTGCTTTCCAGTCAGGGGAGAATTATCTACTTCTTACATCCATATAGTGCCAGTACAGGCCAAACATCCACAAAACACAGGTTAAATTAACATCCTGACCTTCAGGATGCTCATTAAAAGGGTGTTGATAATAATCTTAAGCAACCTAGATAAGTCTCAAATGTAACTTGGCATCTCTTAGGAGGTTAGCTCAAGCTACGTTTCAAACTGCTAGCATGCACGTTCTTCTAAAACAGCTGTCATCTGCTGCACCAAAATGTCACAAAATTTTTGTAGCTTACAAAGCAAGATACAATATTTCTTTGCTATAAAATTGCTGCCAGGAAAAAATGAGAGTAAAGTAAGGAATTAAAGAGAAGAAAGCAGAACAGAGATAGGAAATGAGAACTCACGTAATTATTTGTATACATTGCTGCTGAAGTGCAGAGAAAGCAGGGTCAAAAACCCCTAAGTCTCATCTTACTGTAGGTTTTAAAACCAGAAATACTCCATGTGCGACAAGACTTATGGTATAAAGAACAAGTCTAGGATTCTGATATTTAAATGCGAGGCTACTTGCAACTAAAAGCCAGGGTAGGTAAGACACTTTGTCTTCCTTTAATCACTTCAGCCTTATCTACTGTGCCAAAGGGGGAAGGAGGAAAATGCTGTAAATTAAGTTAAAGGAAATCGAAGCAAAGACAAGATAAACTAGCTTTTTGCACGAGTTCTTATATTCAGTTAAAGCCTATGAAAAGGCTTTTAGCTTGCTCATTCAGGGTGAAAAACATTTTCCTTTGATGTACCTCTAGTTAATTCTGAATGTCCTTTTCTTGGATACAGAAGAACCCGGCCCTTCTCACAGGTATGCAAGAAGCCATTGAAATCAGCCATCCAAAACGCAAGATTGTCAATATGACATGTTTCCCCTATAATTTAACTAAAAATAAGTATTTCAAGACAGACAAGAGCTGCTCCTGGCAAATGCCATACAACATATGGAGAAAGAAAACCTTTTGCATGTTATAAAAGAAACAACTCCAGCAAGAAAAAGAAAAAAAGGAAAAAAGATCTCTTTCCTATATTTAATAATAATTTGGTAGTATTTGAGACCAAAACAAAGCAAAAAACCCAAACAAGCCACAATCAGAGCACATCACTTGCTTTCCCATCTCTAACCCTCTTGCATCTCTAATTCTACAGCCAGAGTACTACAAAAATTACTATGCAAGGCTTTCATGCTAGCATGAACCCGCTTAGTGGGGTCTTCCGGATCACAAAAATGCCTAAAATAGTTTGAGGCAGATTACACGAATACCCTTCTCCCCCTTGCAGCAAAACAGTGGAAGCCCCCTCCCCTCAGCACCATGGGGCTGATGCTTATGAAACGCCAGGTCTTGGGTGTGCAGTCCTCCGCTTGTGCGGGAGTGAACGCAGTCCCAATAGGACTGGGTTCAGAGAAAGCCAGCTGCAGTCATGCTGCTCTTACATTATTCCCTCCTCACATAATTATCTTCTTTAGCTCCACAGTACGTTCTCCCTTGGGAAATTTTTCATACACATTTTTTAACTAAATCAAAGTTTTATTTCATAAGGTAAAGACAGCTCAAGCCAAGTCTCATCATATAAAAGAAACTATAATCCAGGGAGACAGCGATAGGGTAATTAGAATGGCATTTCTTAATTAGCTATATGCAGTCTGAGTCTCCACAATCATTATGCACAGTTAAGGACAAGATTTAAGGAGCAGAAATGCCCCACTTTTAGGTACATGGTCCATAACGGGATCCAGAACAATACTCCGGGTAACCTGGAATCATAGCTATCTCCTCTAAGTACCATTTCTAAGGTACTAAAATAGCTTCCACAAAGCAAACCAACAAACCTCCAAACACAAGCATACTTGTGCTACACTAGCACCTTCCTTTCCACTTCTAAAAAGCCAAACCAAGTAAGCAATGCCAAAAAAGGTTGTTGGTCAAAGCGCCTGAGCTTAATGCCCTTAGAGAGAAAGGATTGAAGTTCACTTCCTGAACATGCTTGCAACTCAGTAAGGTATTTATAGCGAAAAAAATGCCATTACTGCCAATGTTTTAAAACATTCTATTTTGAGAGATATTTGACCCTAATTTTGTAAACTGAATGACCGAATCCTCAGCTGTTTCAATATCCAGTTTTTGATTCATGATTAAGCTTGGGAGTGCATGCGATGAGTTTACTTCTGAGCTTATACAGAAAGCTATTTCTTTCAGTACGCAAAGGCTTCATCTATAACTCAGATCTGTTACATTTATAACTCAAGAAAGTACTCAGATATTGATCCCAGGCTTCCGTGCACCACCCCGACCCACCCAAACCCACCACTTAGTGAAAGTCAGCTTTATGTAAGCAATTTCCTTAGCTCCTTTGAAGATTTTTATGGATTCCAGAGGGAGACAATTCCTCCTGCAAACTTAAGTTTTTTCCTACATCCTTGCCACCTGGCCACGTTACCACCTACCACACTAGAATCCCTAATTTTATAGCTATTTTGCTTGAAGGCTGTCAATACAAAAGTGCTACAGGGGAAAATGCTATGGTTTGAAAGGTGTGTCTTTCATATTTGTAGAAAGGAATTTGATCAATCTCCAGTCAGTACTGACAGTTGTTCTAAAAGTTACGTCTGCTTTTTCTGCTGAACATCCATTATTCCCCATTTTTTACTAATGGCCTTTCCATAAGATTTTTTTTTTGCTTTTGTGAAATTTATGAAATTTTAATTTGCACAGCCGATTCTGCAACAATGATAATCGAATACACCCCCAAACACCCTGTGCTAAATGTAGTTTCATGATGAGCAAGTAAAATTCACATGTTCTTTATTATCCATATAATACACCATTTTTTTTAAAGTTTTAAAATTAGATAAAAGCATATTAAATGGCAGGTGTATGAAGTTCTTCAGAAACAATGCCAGAACAAAAAATTGAATTACAAAATGTTAAAAAATATGTAGGTACATTTGAACTTAACATTCCACTAACGCATAATGTTACAGATATTGTCTAATGAAAAATAATTGTGCCACTTACCTATTTTTGCTGTTTCTAGGAACTTTTTATTCTGTACATAGGACAATTCTGTACAAAATATGAAGTCTACATTTTTATTACTTATTACCATAAAACAAGGTACAATGTATGTACAATATTAAAATGAAGCCATACTAAAGCCACACTAAAAAGACACTTGTAATATTACTTTTGACATTCCTGATGTACAGGTGTAATTTTGGAAAACGGGGAAAGGTATCAGACACAGAACTTTATGAAGAACAACAGTCACCAAAATTCTACTTTAATTTTTCTTTTTATTTTGGATGTATTAGTTTCGGAATGGTTTAGTACAGGATTATAAGTAGCATATAAATATTGATAATAAACATGCTAAACCATTAGTGGTGATAGGTTTTGGAATATTGCCTAAGTGTTCAGTGGCCCAAAACTTCAATTATGAATTTATGGTGAACTTTAAGCCTTTAAAAATACCATAATACTTCCCTTTTTGGTGAGTGTTTATCTTCAATAAAGAACAGAAATAAAATCCAGACAGTGAAAGATGTTCTTATACGTTGAGCATCACACAATCAATCAAACATTGATATACAGGTTTGTTTTTTTTTTTCCCCTTGGGTAACATAAGAATAATTCCTTTCAGCAACCTCTTGCACAAACATACTGAACACCCAAAATCAAAGATAACTGATAATCTACCAGCTAAAGATGGAAGTTCAAACAATGGTATATCAAAATACATAGACATTGCTTTACACAATTAAAAAAGCACCCTTTTTCCCTCAAAAGGAGAAGGCATCTTTAAACTGTTTTAATATAGTTTATCCTAATGGTAAAGCATATTCATTTTCAAGTTTTACAGGAAATGTTTTCAGACACAGTGGACATTCCACTTAAAGGTTGGGTTGGTCTTTAAATTTAGTTATTGTAAGCCAATATTTACCACCCACAATTTTCTTCCAGTAGACAACATAACAAATATTGGAAATCGAATGTTAAATGCAACCAACAAACAGCAGGCACTACATCTGCACAAGGTTACTATGAATGTCTGCTTTGCGCATTTGTTTTTTTTAATGGATGCAGGAGACGTTATACTTCCTTAAAAAGTAAAACAAAACTATTTTTAAAGAAGCCACGTTTTTATCTCTTTATGCATCAAGACATTAAACATTAAGTTCTATCATGTTACTGCCAGAGACGAAAGAAACTAATCACCCATTTAGAATAGCAGAACACATTTCAAACAGCTTGTAAGCAGGATAAGTAAGTCAAAATACTGGCCACCCTGAGAGAAATCAAATATTGAAGACAAAGCACTATATTTTTAAAGAGATTTTCCTTCCGTGCTTTTCCATCTACAACAAAAAGCTCATTACATGCAAGTAATCTTGTGGAATATATAGCAGCATTTGAAGATCATCAGCAACTCAGATGCATTTTCAGTTCACTTGTGAGGTGTATTTGCAGCACATGTGCTCTTTACAACAACAACAAAAAATATTGTCACGGTAAAATTACTATTATCTCCTCAGCTCTTAGACTCATCTAAAAAGAAGCAGAATGGAATTCAAGGGTCTGTTGTTCTTCTTATTTTAATAAGCTTATGATGTTGTGTTTCCTGAAAGGTTACGTTCACCTTTCAGATAAAAACTGATGCAACTGAAATCACGCATAGTATCTGCCACAGAATATTGAACTCCTAGAGCCCAAGAAAAATGCTGAGTATTAAAAGCTCAGATAAGGGAGAAAACAGTGAAAGAGTATTTATTGACTTGAAAAAAAATGTAAAATGAAATTTTATAGTCAGTCTATTCCCAGTCATAGTAAAAATTTTCATTTTAGGAAAAATTCTTCTACCAGTTCATTTCTGGAATACTGGTGCCGTATTATACACTAAAGACTGGAAAATATGGCTTTAAATATACATAAAGTATTAGGACATGGTATATATAGATATATATCTTTATCCTAAGTAAAGGAGAAATAAATTTACAGAATTCTTAGAAAGGAATGATGATTGAGGATTGTCATGAAAGTTACCAGTTTGTAAGCCATGTTTTATAATACGAAAGAATAACTGTGTATTTTCAAAACTGCTGGTATATTACAAGACAGCAATAATGTGGAAACAACTGTAAAGTTGAGAAATCCTAGAAAAAGTTTAATACTTAAATTTGAAATAATTTCACTTTTGAAAACACACATTTATCATTAGTACCAACTATTGGTCATTCACTTATTTAGACAGAAAGAGTTTATAGAATGCTTTTCTCAAATATGAGTATAAAAACTGCATGTTATCAGCTAGCTGGTACTATGATAACACCTCCGGGAAATTGTGTCCACTTGATTATAGTCAACCCAATATTCTGCATATGGACTTGGGTAATTTACCATTGTTTGAACTACTAATCTTGAGCTGCATACTCTATTAAGTTATTGCCGACAGAACTGGGTTGAAGAAAGCTTTGACTTTGTGTGTAACTGATTGGTATGGCACAAAAAAGTAAGTTCTACTGTAGAACTGAGTCCAGAAAAAAAACAACCTGTTCCTCCAAAATAATATTTCACTGTAATAGTTTAATGCCCATCATGTGATATTAATTCGTCAGCTCTGCAATGTGATTCCAAGGCTTTCATGGTATAGATATCCTGAGGCAGTTCTGACTTGCGTCGCACAAGAGGACGATCTTTTTTCTGATCTTTCTGTGCCTGAAATAAAAATAGAACAAAATTGGCCAAAAATACTAATTACTAAACAAGCCCTTAAAAATACTTCTTGCACATCAGTATGTTCACTTACGGGAAAAGAAATAAAAACATATGGGGAAAAAGTTTATACTTTCTCCTCTTTACCCCATCAGCTACCCAGTTGCAAGTCTCGAAACCATTTTTTTTGCTAAGAGGAAAAATCAGAAACAGCTAACAAATTTTAAGCTAATAACAATCACGACATTACTACCATCATTATCACTTGATAACATTTTTAAAAATTGTCACGTCTTCTCACTTATTTTTCATTTTGTATGTCTCTACATTTAAGATAAACGATCTTAAGTTTTTTCCATGCTTCTAATTACTCGCAGTATTCGCATATCTGAAAATTTAAGGTTCTGATGTATTGTTTTATTGACGCTCTCTCAAAACCAGACAGTATCCCTATCAGAGTATCCTGAAACTACATAATGGTGTCTTTATATAGTCCCCATGTCCATCTCACCTACCCTAATTTGCCTGCTAGATCAATGATGTTTATTCATGTTTTCCTATTAAAAAAGTCCTTATAAAAACTGATTGGCTTTTACTTAGCCATTGATTTACTAGCATGTTCAAAAATTTACTAAGTCATGGTGGTCAAGTTTTATTTGTAGCAAAGAGTATTCACTAAAAACACTCACATAGTCTGGTATAGTAAAAAATTCCTGGTCTACTTTCCTCAGTCATTCCATCACCTCTTCAGTATGGACATTCTGCTACATTGCCAACCTCTGGCATAAACCTTACTTTCATTGAAACCGTATAGATCTTTACACAGTTCCTCACTTCCGAAGTTTTATTTAAAAAAATAAAAACTAAGCTGTCCTTCTGCCTTGCCGTCTTTTTTTTTTTTTTTTTTTTTTAAATTGGTAACTGTAATACCTCTTGTTTTAGCATCAATATCTGCTGGTACTTAGCAAGGAATACGTAACTATCTTTCCAGTGTCCTCTCAAAGACTGATGCAAGAATGGTACCTAGCTTGCTTTCTGCAATACCCTAATCCTCAATCCTTTTCCTGCCTGGTGACCCAGACTTATCAATCCTCTTGCAAGCTTTATACTTCTCACAGATTTCTCTAAGTTTTTCTAATAAGAATTCCTATTTCAAACCATTCTATTAGCTCTGCTAGGACAAGACCTTTATCTTTGAAAAACAGCCTTATAACCTTCTAATCATCTCATTTACTTCCTGCACACTTTCTGAGCAAGGAAAAGCAGGAAAGCATGCACTTGGAAAGATGGCTAAAGAATGCTTAAACAGTTCCAACCCGTTTCATAATTTTATTTAGTTCACCATTTGTTTCTTTTCCATTAGTGTCACTTTTTTAATCTCCACCCCTTCTAACAATTGGGGCAGGGGAGGAGAGGGAAATCAAGCTCATCCATAGGAATGCAATGCACTCATTTTCCAGCTGGAATGCTATCAATGAAGCTGTATATAGCCCCAATATTATAGCTCTTAAAGTTGAATTCTTTGTAGAGAAGAAGGTAAGACCTAGGTAGAGTCCTTGGTTTTCATTTGGGCTGCCATTACTGCTTGCGCATTTTATATTGTATAATACTGGCCGAAATCCCCAAACGCTTCCAGCAGCTGGGACTGGGAACTTTGTTCGTAACTGCTTGTCCCAACTACTTTTCTTCTAGAACTAATGTTAGAGCACTCAGAGTTAGGAGGTATGAGTTTTAATTCCTTCTGGCCAGGATGGAAAGTGAACCAAGGTCTCAAATCTTGAGAAAATGGTTATGCACTAGGAAACAGCATATTAAAAGATGGACACTACCATCATCACAACTCTAAGATTAAGCAGTACTCTTTTTATTTAATAATCTTATATGTACCTGTCTCCACTAGAACTGGTTCTAGGCTCTGGAGCTAGTGAAAGGAGGACTCTCTCCCCATCATGTGGGCCTGGCTAAGCTACCCAAGGTCTGAAGACAGACAGAGGTTTAATAAGCCTGGTGCTCCTCACTGACTAGCTCTAACCAGCATTCCCATTCAGGGCAATGCTACCCTCATTCATTGCTCCGGACAGGCATGTAATTTGGCCCCCAGGACTTACATGTAACACATAGGGTTCCACTGCAGAGATAAGTGTTTAAAAAACAGGAACCACTGAGCATGTCCTGGGAGGCATTCCAGTGTTTCTTTTGATTTTGATTTTTAATCCAAAATGCCATAGTACAAATAATAAATAAAATATAATCTTGCAGGATAATTACACTGGAATTTTAAGAAAGTAACATAGGAGGCTAGGTTGACCATATGCTTATTTTTATTAAATTTCTTGTTTGATACATTGGTTCAAATTAACAGACTTTATCTCTGATCTCAACCAGTTTTTCAGCTCCAGATCACTTCTCTGGTCTTAAAACTTTGCTGGATTTAGAGATACTCATATTACTGATACTCCTACCAGACATCTTAGTTATACTACAATGCTCCCTGGCACCTCTCCATTTTCCATCAGCTCCAAGTTTAAATCTCTAGTTTGAATGTCAGGATTCTGGTTCCACTTAACTGAAGTTAAATTAAAAATACCTGAAAAATCACTAAGCATTAGCTAAAGACGAAAAGACTGGAATGACCTTGAGATTCCTTGCCCTGCAGCAGGTAGTGGAATGTGACAGATGGTGGACTGAGGAAGACGACCCATGAGTGGGCAAGACAAATGCATACTTCACACATTTTTTTTTTTTTCAAAACATAGTAGCTTTAGCCATTAAGAAGGCTCTGAATAACAAACAAACAAAAACGTCACCACTAGAATCCGACTATATTTTATACAAGTTTTCCTTGCGAAAAAACAATTTTGTTATATAGAGAAAAGAACATGATGTGGTAGATTTTAGCCATATTTTAACTATCCTTAAAGCATAATCATTGTTCCCACCGTGACACTAAAAGCTATTTCTAAGTGAAAGGAAAATGAAAGCTTCTGTAGTAGAAATGTCAAAAGAGACCACACAGCAGATTCACAGGCATTAGAAATATAACACTGTATTCCTGGCTGCTACAGTATCACTTAGAAGTAGCAGCTCTAATGAAGTTTATTACTCTAGGATAAATGGTTACAGAGCTGAAAATATAACCCAAGTTTATGTCTAGGATTAACAGTTGCTTAAAAAAAAAATTAATTTAGAGTACTTTGTTATCTTCACATGGCTGTACCTGACAAGCCTCTTCTTTCACTGTCTTTTTCAGCATCTGCAAATCTTCAATTAAAGGCCCATCTGTTTCCATTGCAACAGGACTGTTCAGCAAACTCGTGTCACTATATGTTGGGTACTAATAAAATGCAAAGTGTTAAAATAATGCTTCTTAGTAGTAATACTTAAATACTAAGAGTGTATTTAAGCATTTGAATGCTATGATTAGTTATTTGAGATTAGCTTCAATATCTTATGCTTCCAGGCATCAAGTTAAATTTTAAAATGGAACTCCGATACTTTCACTTGGCACAAGTGTCATGTTGAAAAATACAGTCAGAATACAAAAAATATGCTTTGATTATCTGACACTGAATTTTAAAATATTCAGATTTTGCCAGTATTGAGTGTCGTCTTTGGCAATCATTTATCTGAAACTTTATTAATACATTGTCTAGTGATTTGTGAACAGTGTAGCAATCCAAACACAATGATTTTACTTTCTGGTGCACTTTTGTGTTGGAAGAGAAAATACACTGTTATAAGGCCAAATATGGTTAATATATATTTAAAATAATTTCAAAACAAAATATTAAACTTTTCTGTCTTGAGAAAGTAAAACAGCCATAAAAGTCTTTTCGGGATAAAAAACATCTTGTAGAAACACTTGTATAACATCTAAAGCTTACTGTACAGCAAACTCAATATTTTAAATTCTATTTTAATTCAGATGAGGTGTATGCGGTCTTGAAATCAAAACTCATTTACGAACACACACACACACGTTTTCATCCATTTTTCCTCATAAATATTTTAGTATTTGAGTGTACCAATAATGTAATACAGATGAGACAAACTAGAAAAAACTGACAGCAAGGATTTAGCAAATATAATGATCTAAAATCTTAAACTGTATTCTTGTCAAGCAGAGTCAGGACTAGCTCTGAACAAAAAGAACTGTCAGTAATTAGACAAATTAAAAAGTTAATAGAAATTCTAGGAAAAAGCCCACACCTTAAAAATCTATTATACAGAGTGCTAAAAGCATTTATATCCTTACGTCAATTCAGTCGAGCACTCAAGTGTTCAAAGTAATAATTTTTATTTTAAATTGCTTCCAATTATTAGCCCTCTTCAAGCATACTATATACAGGTTGTGTTAACCAGTTTCAGAAAACGTACACAGTGACAAAAAAATTACTTGGGGAAAAAAAGGAAATTTACACTGTAGAACACTAAATTTTACTACTACAAGTCAATCCCCTTATTTAGCTGGACATGCAGTAGTTCATCATTGTGGTAGCAAACGACCAGATATATCAAGTACTCTTCAAGCAAGGCTTTTGTATGGCTTATCTGATTAGAGGAATGTTTTGTCACTGAAAATCAATTGCTGCTTTCAGATGAATGGTTCTTTTTTGGTTAACTGATCTGTTGTTAACTGACATTTTGTTTAACAAATTTTATTTGAGCAGTTTAGTAATTGTTCCCTGAGAAACGGCACAAGAGGAAAAAAACATTTATGAAATTCCTCCTCCTTAGAAAAAAAAGATGACCCCATACTTCTGTTTATAGAGTACCGTTACTCCATCTTCCACCACTTTAAACTCAGCTAGGTGATGTTGGAAAGATACAGTACTGTAAATTTCTTGCTGCAGTATAGTAAAATTCTGGCTGCGAAGTAACTGAAATGTTTGGGTTTTTTTGCCCATAGCAGCAATCTGTATGATTGAGATAAAGGAAAACTGGCAGCATTCTGGTCGGGGTGGGGGGTTTTGGGGTGCCTCACCGAGCCCACCTCTCCGCACACGCCCAAGCGGCGGCTCTCTGGCGGCCTGCGAGCACACGACACAACAAAGGGGGGGGGGGGGGGGGAAACCCACACAAAAAAACCAGCCCCAAGCCAAATCATCTCCTTCTCCCATAATTTCAAAATATAATGAATAGTCTAAAGGACCTTTGTTTCTTTATCAAAATTCCAGTTACATCAAGTAATGCCTGACAGGATGTTTTCCTTTTAGTAAGAGCCTGAGGTGCAGGTTCACCAGAAGACCGGCCCAATGCAAGTATGAGAACAAATGCAGCAGACAAGAACGTACAACATTACTTTAATCCATTTGACACAGAGGAAAACTGACCAGCCATAACTCACAGTTTGCAGAAAGATCTCTTTTGTAATATATTGTTTGTAAAACAGCTTTTCAAGAGAAACCAACTATGGCATCTCTATATTTTCCATAATTTTGCACAATAACTTTTCAAACCGCAATACAGTATATCTCCTATTATAAGAAAAGGAAAAAAGTACTTCATATCATACTTTTCAGAAACCTTTTTTTTAAAAAATAATTACTTGCACAAGAGAAAGGTTACAAATTTTAAAAGTACTTTTATTGTATATCTTTCATAATACAATTAGTGAAATTGCTTTATTTCCATGATCAGTCAGACCTGTTTCCCCCATTGATATTTAACAAAACTAAAGTATTTAAACATGAACATGTTAATCTTTTCTAAATACCTGGGGATTTGATTTGGCTAGATTTTCTATTTTAACCCATGCTTCTTCCCGTTCCTTCAATTTTAGCTTCTCTCTGAAAAAAAAAATTAGAAGCAAAAATGGCAAAAGCAGCTTTGTGAATCTCGCATCACAACTTGTACACTTTCTTAAATGTGAAGAAATTTACTAGAAGAATTCAACAGAATAAATTACTTAGCTATGCCTGTTTCAGCCTACTGCCTAAAATATCACTTACTGTTGACAGCATAATTTGCATCGTATCAATACCCCATGATCGCAAAGCAACATTAAAAAGGAAAAAACTTATATTTTCTCATGAAAGCAACAAACTGGCTGAGACAAGTTTATCTTTAATAACTGTACATTGTTAACAGAGTTAAAACAGAAAGAAGTCTTGATCTATGTTGAAAGTGTGTCTGTGTTTTAAATTTATAGTGTTTGAATTCTATATTGAACCCTAAGAAACTAACATCTGACCCTAAGAAACTAACATCTGACCCTAAGAAAAGGCAGAGATTCCTACTGTCAGCTCAATGGCTTCAGGTAATAGTTTAAAGGAAAAGGCCCAGAGACATTTTGAATTGAACACTAACAGAGAAGTACCCAACAAAACCACACTCATTCAAGGGAGTCACAAGCCAAGAGGGATGACATGGGATGCCTTCCCCCCCGCCCCCCTTTTAAATTAAAGCAGGAAAAGTGTGTTTCCTTATGCCTAATGTAATTCAAAATGGTAAAATCTAGGGGTTTTTTCCTTTCTTTCTTACAGACTTATTGCAGAGACTAGAATGAACACCTGTCTTTGAAAGGTGGTAGAGTTTAAAAGGGCTTTGAGCTTACACTAAAAATGCTCTCAGGCTTTAATGCATAGAGCAGATGACCCAAATGTAAAAAAACAAACTAAAACAAAACCAAAAACCCAAACAGTTATATTCAAGCACATACACAATTTGCCTCCAACTCTCAATTAAGTTAAGTTTGGGCTATTGCGTCACTCGGTACTCTGCCTGCCTTAGTTCACATTCAAAATGCCACCAAAAAAAACCCAACCCAAAACCAGAGAAGAAAAGAGTGCTTTCCCATTTAAAAGGGATTATACTTATTTGCTATGATAGAAGAGAGACTTACATAGTCTTTTTTTAAAAAGCAAATGTTCACATTTTGTTATCTATAAACAGACACATACATCTTAAAAATTTGTTATACTACAAGCTCATTTCTATTCAAATTGTAATAAGGAACTTCAAAACTTGGACAAATCAACCTACATTAATAATTTGTACTACTTCCAGTATATTGGTTTAAAATAGGTGCATAATTTGAACTACTACTTGAAGGAATCCCTGTTCACTTTGAAATTAAAACTAAAAATTCAAATCCAGGTATTCTCAGTACCCACTTTCTAACTATGCTACCCAGCCCCTAAAACGAGAGCCAAACTATTAATACTTTTGACTTCCCGATCTCACTTTAGTAGGCTTTATAACATACTGAATATTCAAAAAATTAAGTCTATTTAACAAAATTGGAAGTAGAGGAACAGAAGATAGGTGACTTTATGACCATAAAAGTTATCTGCATTTTTGGGCATAAACCAGAAAAATTCTAGCTTCCAAATCCCTGCTCTGTTCACTGGCCTATGCAAGAATACACTAAACTCAGCAGGATTCTTCTGGCAAATAATGTACCAACACCCTGTATTTCAACAGAGTAACAACTCTATTTCGGGTAATTTCTAGAAAAACATGTACATGTGCTTACACACAATGCAATGCTGAAAAATACTGGAAAAGTGTTTTGGGAAGAACTGAGTGACAACATGAAAGAAAATAACACTGGGTAAATAAAGCATGCTAAAACAAACACGGGATGTAAACTAAACTGTTTAACAGATCTTTTGCACTGACCTTCATGATTAGCAGGGTCCCTCCCCTGAAAAATTAATTTTTAGGAAGATGGTGACCCCCAGCAGTATTAGGCTAAAGACTACACATCCTACTCGTAATAAGATTTTACAGTTCATATATAATGAGAAGTTTCACCAAGTCACTTTTGAGACTGTTGCACTGTAATCAAATGGGCACAACTTCCCACTAAAGACACGGTAGTTTTTCAGAGCTAAAGCACTCTGAACAAATTATTCAAGAACAGACGGACACACTGACATGAAAACTTACTTCAGTTTTTCTGCTTTAAATTGCTGTGTGCAGTCATCGAACAGTTTTTGGTTCATCTCCATGAAGAGTTTCAGAGCATTGTATATCAAGCCATGTATTGTCCTATAAGTAAAACTTCTGGTTGAAACTCAGAGTACTTTAAACTTTGAAATCTATTTTTTCTGGTCAACAGTAGCCAATAGCCTACATAACTGGAAAATTACATCATTTCAGAATAAGTGGAAACAAAACTAGTTAGTGGAAGTTTCAGTTTACCCTCAAAAGGGCTAATACAAGTACTAAAATTACCAACTTCAAATGCAGTTTTCTTACTCTATAGTACTACTCGTCACTTACACTTCTGATGTTTGAACTTCATTTTTAATACTATGTGTATCAATACAGGACTAGTTTTGAAATTTAGTAGCTCACACTAATGAAACTAGGGTTATTAGAGAAAATGCAAGATGATATTAAAGATCTTGATGTAACTAACTTACTGGCAACTGACAAATTAAAGAAAAAAAGAAGTTAGTCATTAAAAGGAGCCTAGAAAAGACACCATTCATTTTGAAAACTGCCACACAGCAACAGCGCTCACTTTAACACAATTATGCCAGGACTCTTCAGAAAAGTGTTAGAAAAGTGAAGTGTAAAACACCAAAAAAAACCCAAACCCAAAATAATCTGATTTATGAAGCACTTTTACACAGTAATTTACAGTTCCAGTCTGTAATCTATTGCTGATCATTAAATCCCAAAAGCAATCAGTTAAATGATTACTTTGTATCATACATATGAGTTACAAGTAAGAGTGCAGCTGTCCTGGGTAGCATGACTTCTGCCCAGAATAAAATGAAAGCATGGCCTTGAAAGGCAGAAAAAACAACCGACAACAATCCACATTTACTATGTACAGTTGCATCACTGAATCAGAATTTTATTAACGAGTACATTATTTGTTACTGCTTACATCCAGTGACAGTAACCAATCACTTTAACATCACTTTATCTTCCATTTCTTTTCCTGTGTTTAGTGGCAGCTTGATTACACATTCTTGGCCAACCCATCAGCAGTCCTCAATTCATGGCCAGCACTAGACTGTGATACTTTCACCATCCCAGCAGTTGCACAATAGCCCAAACAAAGAGGCACTTTACAATGGAACAGCTGCAGAAAGGAGCTGACCAGGACTGTTTTCATGCGTAAGTACTATGTTATTGTGGGGAAAAAAAGTGAAAATAGTCAATGGAGAAAGAAGAGAAAACAATAAGCAAAGCTGAAAAAAAAAGGGGGGAGGAAAGGAAGAAAAATGACCTGACCTACAACATATTCCACTAGAATGCAAAAGAAATGCAAATCAGCAAAGAGGTTAGAGATCAGAAATCGAAGTTAGTCTTTAGAAGCATCTGAACTACACATTAATGCCAAACTCGCTTCATGTTAATAAAAACACGTCATGGATTAGATGCACTAAAACGCTGTTTCTTGTTTAATGAAAAAAGGAAAAAAAACTATCTTCCTCAATTCTTAATATTTCCTAAAAATTTTGACAACAGTAGTCTCCTCCTTATCCAGCAACTTTTATGTCATAGAATAAATAGCTCAACACACTGTTAAAACTAGCAACTCAAATATCTGAACCACTTTTAAGCTTAAAACTAGACATAAGTGAAGTAGCAGAATTTTATTTGTACAAGTTTCTTACTTGTTCCAATGCGTCTTTGAATTCCGGTACAAGGATGGAAACATGATGGGTAAAATCTTTGCTGCATTATCACTAATTAAACTCATAATATATTCATTATTCCAGTAGTATAATGCTCGCTCCGCAACCTAAGACAACATGAAAAAAGGAACACTTCTTCAGACAATCCCTTAAAGAGCAAATAATTTAAACATTTGGCAAATATAAGGGAAAGGTAAGAAAAGTTGCAACTTAGATTTGGATTTTTCTAGTACAAAAGTCATGGAGCTGATGGAAAGAGAGATAGAAAAATTGCTTTTTTCTTCATAGGGACATGACTCAAACTATAACCTATGAAATCTGAAATTCAAGCAGAGAAATGCTTTCCCAAAGAAAGAGTATTTGTAGAACTCTATTACAAGCAGTGAAATGCAAACACTATGTACTGAAAGGGTTGAGGTACTTCTGAAAACAGCGAGCTTTTAAGCTTTTATGTTAAGCATAACACTGAAGTGAATCACTCAGTATGAACGCACATACTGCACTCTTGAGAAGAAACAATAAAGCTAATATTTGACACAGAATTGAATACTTCCTTTTTGCAACAAATAAAAGTCATTACAGTGAATAATAGTAGGGAATACCATGAACAAGTTTGCTTTACAGAAATCCTCATATTGTTGTATATGCAGTAAGTACAGACCTGAAAGTGTGGACTGGACACACATTTGGCTAGCTGTCTGAAAAGAGGCTCCATAACTTTTACAAATTCAGATGGTTCAATAACATCTAAAATTTCTTCTAGTTCATTTAAAAACATGACTTCTTTTGGACTGTGAGTCTTTGGCCAGTATTTCAGCAGTGCCATTACAACCTGTAGAGATAAAGTGAACATAATATTCATGATACTTTGACTTTACCTTGCACTAAATTATATGTCATTAAGAAGTCTGATATTTTAAACAGAACACACAACTCAGATTGCTTGTCCCATGTGACAGCAGTGATCGGATATGGTTCAGTGTCACAGAAATAACTGTTGATAGGTCTAAAAACACTTCTTCAGAAAATAAACTTACACACTTAAAAGACATGTTCAAAAACAATCATCAAAAGAGTAGAGAAAGTAACCTGACATCTAACTTAACATGATCATCAAATCAAAGTGCAAATTTACTACTATACTATGGGGAAAATTATCTGCCACTTAAATAATAGCAGCTTTCAATCTCTAATTTCCTGGAGGCGTACTCCAAAACTCAAGAAATTAAGTTCTATCATTGTATTTTAAGAAAAGCTTCACTATAAATACCCAAACTGACAGGTGACCGACTACTCTAGGCATGTTACCCTTAAACGCCGAGTTTTATTTAATTGACTATATTACTATAATCACAGTCTTAACTTTCTTCATGATTATTAACTCATTTACCCAGCTTGCTGAAGCAGTTTTTGCCTAGCAAACCACAAACATTTGAAAGATGGAGGGAGGGGGAAGGGGAGGAAGTGGGGAGACAACCAAGGGATCCACAAAAATGTGACACAGAAGGAAGTCATCTGCCACTTGGCTCACAACTCTTCAGAGTCTATACAGCTGTGGGAAATGTTTCTAGAGTCTAATTGAAAAACAAACTCTCCCATCTATTGAATATATAAGTAGAAGAATTTAAGTCTGAAAAGTGATACTAGTTTAGCAGTTAAATATATTTAAACATCGTATTTATTAGTGGAGTTATCAATTACATAATTTATTCAAGAATCTTCAAAAATACACAAAGTTATATTGAAGGAGTAAAAACTCTTGTGCTGTTAGCAATTTCTGATTTAACAAAAATGCGAGTAGACACAAGTGTTTTTGTTATGAAAGGAACATCTTTTTCCAAAGATGTCAGTTTTCAAGCCAAAGTGTAAAATTTTAATATTTAAGTTGTTGGGGTTTTTTGTGTGTGGGGTTTTTGTTTGTTTTTGTTTGTTTGTTTGTTTTGTTTTTTTGTTTTTTTTTTTTTTTTAAACTATAAAAATTGTTTTCCATCTGTAGCAATCTGGTGCCAAACAATATTCAAATAGGAAGACATTTTCCATCAAAGGATATTTAAACCATGTTAAATATTTAAAAATGACTGGCATAGCACTCAATCTTAAATTTAGATATTTTTGATGAGAAATTAATACAACCTTGAAAGTATAAGTTTAACCACAAAACAAAAGCATTTATAAAGATTAAAAAGCCACATGAAGAACAAGAATATGACAGTGTCTGTCTAGTCCTAGATGTAGAACTGGACAATAAAAACCCCACCCAAAACAGTACACACTTCTTGAAAAACTCTTAAAATAAAGGTTATATTTGTCTTTTTATATAGTTTAAATGTTGCAACAATCCATTAGCCTTTCTCTCAGACAACTTTTTTTTTTTCTCTCATTCAGGAATAAAAAGCAGTCTCTTTTTTTGTTTTCTGAAATGGAGGACATTTTTGTAGAAGTCCAGCTTTTTATATTTAAAAACTATAAGCAGTATTAAATATCATCACTGACAAGATAACTCAGTGAGAAATCAGTGCATCTTTCATATATGTATTATTTCATCATGAAAGCAGACACTATGTCCTCAATGAAGCCTTGGGAAATTTATGCAGATTTTTTTAATAAGATGTCAAAAAGTCTCGTATGACAATTATAAGGGGAAACAAAGAGTTTTATTTTGAAATGACCAGAATTTTTGAAAGGGAACTCAGTACTTCAGTGATGCATGTGCTAAGTTTTTAAAGAATCTTGTAATCATGTACTAATTTGGGATCAAAAAAGGAAACAGCCTTGATTGTGTTTTAGTTCAGATTTGTACTAGGAAATATGTAACATCCTAGCCGATGTCTGGAAGAAAGCTAAGATTTCAAGATCTCATATAGTACAAATGACAGAATGTCTGAGATTTGATATCTTAACAAGTATTAAAAGCTCCAAGTAGAAGACAGTTCTTGCTCAGCTGCATACTTTGTTTCAAGAATCCCAGTTTCAGTTTTGCAATGGAAATGGTTATAATCTAATAATGTGCACTCTTGTTAGTAGCAATCGTTTTACTGATTGCTACTTGGTGATTAAATATATCAGTTCTTACCTACTTAATATTGGGTGTAATGATGCAAAACGCTATATACTATTGAGAACAGTTAAAAGTATTCATCTATGCAATTATGTGCAGCCAGACCAAAGTCTGGTTTTGTCTACGGTCCAAACTTGGTAGACATGAACAGGATCTGACTCAAAAGCCTTGCATCAGTTGGTAGTTCCATGCGCCAGAAATCTGTGTTCCATCATAACATCAGTGTCTCAGCAGAGCACAGTTCAGGCAAGCTAATTTCTGACTAAACTGCTTTCGGAGCAACCATCTCATATCCAGTCAGCCAGAACAAACTAAGCAGAATAAACTCTGGTCTGTTTGTAAGAGGCATGCTCTTAATGTTGTTTTGATTCATTTTGGACATTCTAAACAATTGTTGGAAAAACTGAATTTGATAGATCAAAACGGTTAAATATTTGACTCCTCTTAATAAAAACAATTACATATCAATGCTTTATTCATGAAACCTCCTTAAACAGTCTACAGATGAGAGGGATATTAATATTCCAAAGTATATAATAATAGCAAGATAAACTTACTGGTTCTGTAAGCGTGCTGTCCTTTTCTAAAAATTGAACTACACAGTACGCCAGCTACAGTAAAAGAAAAAGATTTTTATTAATCGTCACTGTGAAACTGAACACACTTTGAAATCATTAGCATAAGTGGAGAACACTACTGAATTCAAATAAAAACACAACAGTTTTTCTATGATTTTAGAAAAATTATTTGGCAGGCAATTTAAACAAAAAGGTAAATACACTTTACCAACTTTTCCCAACCTTCCCAAGTCTGTCCTCACCTTTTTCTGGGTTATGATATAGACAAACACATAATTTGATGTTTTCTTTTTAAACCTAGTACTTTGCATTTCAGCACACTTCATCTTTGCAAACACAGGACTTAAAAGTCACAATCTTGTCCTCTAAAGTGCTTTCCTCTCACTAACATTTTGGTGTCCCATGCTGATTTAATAACTATTTTCTACTTCATAACCTAAGTCAGTTAAAAATGCATTGTTGTAAATCTTAGGATTTTCTATATATGAGAACTAACGACAACTATGCATATCAATGTAAAGCTGATGCAAGCTGAGGCTGAATTACAGTATTTACCAACTTCAATTCTGAGAATGAGACTGTATATCTGTGCCTAAATGGTGAACTATTACATCTCTTTCACTTGATAGTCCAATAGTCCCAAAGTAAATGGGAAGATCCCTGCACACCTCATGAACTGTTTAAGCATTTTCCTAACGTCTCTCCATTTATGGAAGTTCAGCTGATGAGCCCAATTCCTTTCCTGGTTTTGGTGATTGCTACCAAGAACGTCCCTAGGTAATCTGAGGAATGTACAAAGATTATTACATCTAGTGTTCTCCACTATTCTAAAGTAAATTTGAATTGAATATAGAAATTAGCTCTCTTCATGTATATCTGGATTTGGCAGCAAATCCTTCTGAATACCTGCCACTGTTTCAATGTGAATTTTTGTGGGTTTACTCTGGTGTTTGACACTCTGATCTCACTTGAAGTGCCTTCCCATTTCATCCAGTAGGACATGTAAGAGAGGCATCCCTATGTCACTATCTTCTTTTTACTGATAGCAATGAGGAATGCAAATCACCTGAAGGTTTGGGAGAATTAGTTTGTGAAATAAGGGGACTAGATAAAGACCAATCCATCTCAGGTAGGCAGAAGAAAAGGTGGCGATCACAGATGTCTGCACTAGTTAAGAGAAAAGTCTGATTGGCCACACCACAACATCTCATATTCATAACATTAGGAAAAAAAACCAAAACACCAAACTTTTGAAGGAGCCACTCTAGCCTACTACTTCAACAGAAACTGATGTGAGCCCCAGTAGGCAAATCCAAAGCAAATGCTTATAAGCATCTCTAATTGCTAGAGAATTTTAATTACACAAATGGAGTTCTTAAAAATACAAGTAGTTAGTAATTTTATTTGAAGAAATGGTACTTAAAACTTGGAGTACTTGAACTTATACAGAAAGTGTTGAACCTTCAAATTATAAAAACAAAGCTGTGTAACAACCTCTCACGGAGAAAATTTCAGCCTATCACAATAATACTGTATTTTCTCTGATGTTGTATGATTTCCTACTCCTCTAGGAATTCCGAATGGAACTAAAACTCAGCACAGAAAAGATACAGCTTGTTTAAAAGCGCGATACAACTCAGATGTCCCCTTTTTTTCCTGTGTACTTCTAAAAAGATATATTGAATTGAATAATGATGTCCTAGTAAATGCCCAGTTCCTTCAAAACATCAACAATTGTAAGAAACTGAATTCAGCTGAAATTCTCCATGTAGTTTAGAAAAAGCTGTTTATAGATGAAATTCATTAAAACCATACTTTCCTGCAATTTTTGTATGGCTAAACATTACAGACAAGAACAAGATAAACAAAAAATTCTGTGTGTGGATAAATATCAACTCTCACATTAATCAACCTTCATGCATTTCATCTATAAACACTAGAGTGCTTTTAAAAAAGGTATTTATTTATTTATACACACACGAATATATTTTTATTTTTTTCCCTTCAACAAATGAAGCATTTTAGGTGTATATATATTAAATAATTTCCCCAAGGCCACTTAGCATGGAAATGTTGGAGCTTAGAACAGAATCCATGTCAGAATGACTAGACTCCCCCGACCTCTCTAGGTAAACTTACTTTAACACTAGTATGAAAAGTGCTGAACAAAACTTACCTGTGGATGGTAGACACTGAGTGATTTTACTTTGTGCAATGGTAACAAAACCTTCAATAGGAATATTTTGTGCTCTTCTTTTAATGGTAAGGCAAATCCATTAATTATGCTGCCAGGGAAAGAAATTCAAAAATAAAAATCAGTAATTATGCAAACTCTGCACTACTGTAGAGGATATATCAAACCCCTTGTTTTTAATTGCATGTTTTTTGGCAACCTCCTGGAGAACATGATGCAACAGAAAAATTTACAAATTAAGCATGCACCAGAGACAATTTAATTTTTGATCCAGTTCTCGAAAGATTACAAATCAACAGAGTAGTCAAATCAACTGCTGCCCATCCCTCACCCAAGTCTTCCACAGGTCCCAAATTCTTCTTCCAAGCAACATATATGACCATATCTACACTTCAGATTCCAACTTTCACTATGAACTATTCACTATCATCAAAGCTTTGAATACATATTTGTCCCAGCTTCTTCACAGAATTAAATGAACCAGAGATTGGACGTAGAACAGATCAATCCAGGACAGCAGACAAGTCAAAACATGACTTCTACTAAAATATTACTATTTCTGCAAGACCCTAGCAGATAACCAAACAGCATCTCAACACATGACATCCCAGTTCCAGGTGAGTGCAGATGTGGCTCAATACTGGGCCAATGGCACCTTCGCCTAAAAACACAGTACTAGAACAGTGTTTTGTGTTCACTCACTTTGCTAGCATTAACATCAGTTAAAACATCCAGAATCCTATTGCCCATTTCCTATTTTAAATCCTATTTTATTCATTCTACTGCTTTTTTCTTCTCTAACAAGGACAGAAGGCACCCAGGCAAAAGGAACCTGCCAAACTTATCTTAAAAAAACACATTAAAAAAAATTCAGAGTTACATATATTTCAGCTTTCAGAAATTAGATGATGTCCCAGAATTAAAGCTTGCTAAATAACACTTGCTCACCCTTGCTGCGCATGCTTAAAATAATTTTCACTAGTAATGACTGCACAGCTATTTTGAGGATATGAGGTTATTCCTCCTGAAGTCCCTTAGTGCACAATATCAAAACCCCATTTCTACATTAACATTTCTATGGTGTTCTTGCCACAACTTCCACATACTTGACAAATATACATTAACTTAATTTAAAAGAAAAAAAGTTTCTCCAAGATGTTTTAAGGGTTGTTAACCACAAAGAGGAGCAGAATTGTAGGGCAAGTTTGGCCTCAATTGAGTGTGAAGAAATTCTGCAATCCTGTCAAGACATGACTGTCAGAAAAAACATAACTACCTTAGTAGCTCCTACTGGAAGTGTTAATTTGTCCAGTATTATATAGCACTTAGCAAAGGAAAAGAATGAAATCCAGTACTTCAGTATGAAATTCAATTCCTCTTTACTTCTGACAAGCCAAAACCCAGGAACCCAACTGAAAACTGTTACTCATAAGAAGCTCTATGTCAACAACATGTTGTGTGAAACTCCTTAATGGATTGGAAGAATAACCAATACAGAACAGTTACAGCTCGGAAGCCTCATTTAGCTACTAGAAATTTTGATTTGGAAGCCTGAGGAATAAAAAATACTGAACTTCTAAATTTGTAACACTTAAAGCTAACCTAACAAAACCAAGAAGGAAAAAGCTGGTGACTTAAGGAACAGTTTTGAAGATTCAGCTCCATATTCTAGTATTTAAGCTTTAGAGTGTTATACCTTGATGTATACCTTGTACTTCAGTATACCTTGATGAGTATTACTTGATTATAGTATGTTGAAGTAATGATGGATATGTAACTCCTTTAATCATTGAACATTTCGTTGAAAATTAAATAACTACTCTGGGCAGACATGTAGACCTAGAAAATTTTAAAACATCTTTCCAATTTCAACAGCATTCTGGGCTGCATTAGGAACAGCACTGCCAGCAGGTTGAGGGAGGTGATTCTTCCCCTCTGCTCAGTCCTGGTGAGACACATCTAGAGTGCTGGGTCCAGTTCTGGGCTCCCCAGCCCAAGAAGGATGCAGACGTACTGGAAGGAGTCCAGCAAAGTGCCACGAAGACAATGAAAGGGCTGGAGCACCTGACACGCAAAGAAAGGCTGAGAGCGCTGCTTAGCCTGGGGAAGAGAAGGCTCAAGGGGATCTTACCCATGTGTACAAATACCTGAAGGGATGATGGTGTGGAGAAGACGAAGTCAGTGGTGCCCAGTGAAAGGGCAAGAGGCAATGGGCACAAATTGAAACACAGGAAATTTCATTCAAAATAAGAAAACCTTTTTATTGTGAATGTGGTCAAACATGGGAACGCGTTGCCCGGAGAGGTTGTGGAGTCTCCACCCTTGGAGATACCCAAAGCCCGACCAGCCTGAGCAACCTACTCTCGCTGACATGTTATTTTTATGTGCAAAAATATGGGAACACCATGAAGTAAACCTAACTAAGCTTTTAAAGGGTATTAATGTATAAAACCCAAAAGCTTGCACATGGATTGAAGAAATCAGTTGATAAAAAACACGCTAGTTGTCACAAGGCTATCAGCTTTAAGTTGTAAAACTTTAGTTTCAAGTACTTTCAAATGCATCACTGAAGTTTGCTATATAATGGGATTAACAAAAGAAGGTTTCTAAAGTTTCATAACCTATGCTCCCTTTGTTTACCCGCTATGCATTTAGTGATGTTAGAAGAATTTTTGAATAAATTTCAACTAATTACATGTTATTTGTAGTTGCTTTACAACTAATATTAATTACAAGGATCCTAAGCTAGAAAATGACTTAAAAAATAAGATTTAAAAAATTGACACATCCCAAAACATTGCCACAGGGTTCAAGTTTTTGCTGTTTCTGCAATCTCACAGAAAACTCATTCTCTTCGTTACAGCTTTCCCACATGATATGAAGCTATTTTAATCTTGTCTCAAAGCAATCTGCAATTCCCAACTTGATTTTTAAAGTCTCCTCTGAAGACCAAGTGAGTTTGATTAAACAAAACCTACAACTTACCTTCCCAGTATTTCCAGTAACTCTGCTATGCCATTGTGATGTTCTGTTTCATAAATAAACCTAAATAAATGAGAAATTTTACTCAGTTACTGCTGAAGAAAGATACAACTTTAACACAGAGATCCCCATCTGCCATTACAGGTAACCTTGACCTCCCAGGTTTTAGTCACTCAGTAAAAAGGAAGCAGAAACGTACAGTGGAAAAGAAACCTTGTGGAAACATAAATCAAGAGCACATTAAGCTGCTTTCAACATTCACACTTGCTTGCTCTTTTCTCCCACATCTAACAAAGCAGTATGCACTTGAGCTTTTTCCAATGATCATATTCTATGCCATTTTAATAATGCAAAACTGAACACAGCAAATGCCACTTTAAATATTAAAATAACACAAGAGCATCTGGCATAATCAAATGCCATGACTCAACCTTCTATACTGCACAAGGTGCTCAACCAGTTACTAAAAAGCTCTTTGGCATTACAGACTTCGGTGCATACAAAATGCTCTGTAATAAACAGAGGAAGGAAGAAGTTTCCTGAATTTTCTTTTGATATAGAGCACCGTAATTTACTAGGCAATCACCTTTCACCCTTCTTCCCATTTGCCTGAGTGTAAACTTATTGAGAAAGTTCTATGCACAACTTCAGGTATTTTGCAAATAGTTATGAAAATTTACACTTATGAGAAAATAACTCCACTCATTAGAAAATATTTTTCTATTTGAAAATTTGTCATAGATTGACATATTAACAGCTACTTTTAATCCAGAATATTTAATGTGACTGGTTTTTCTCCTTAAAGACCCTTTCCATATAATTCAGGACAACAATTCCAAGCAGCACTAAAGACAATGATACAAAAAGCTTTGGACTGAATTAATAGGAACATAGTGGTTTAATAATTTTTATAAAAATATATTTTACATTAGAAATACAGAAGATTAATGTACTATTGTGACAGAATTCATGCAATTCTGGTCAGTGACAAAAGACAAATGAAGACCACACATTTCTTAAGTAAGCACAGTAACGAACGGACAACTTGCAGGAAAAAGCATAAGAAAAGGAAATATTTTGAAAAATTCTACACATACTTTAAGAGCTTATCATGCACAATCCTCTAATTCAAGACAGAAGTTGAAGCAACTTTCCTCCCTGGTGCTCATATCCAGGAACAGTAGTTTACATTTGGATGCAAATTTTTCAACTTCTAGCTCCTAAATATTATACAACTAAGTGAGGTTTTCTGTTTCATTTTTCTCCCCTACAGCTTGGTAGAGAAAGGTAGTCTCTACAGTGCAAATCATACAGTCTCCCATACACATTTCAGATTGAAAACACATTTTTATACAAACTATGACAAAGTTGATCTAATGACATTTCTTAGTCCTTCAAAAGCCTTGCACCAGAACTATCTGTGTTTGAAGACTTTGCTTCCATTATCCCTGAAAGTAAAGTGCAAGAAATGGTAAATAAAAACACTGTTCAGAAGTGCATTATAATACACTGTGATGCTGTTGTACCATCTGGCTTGGATATTTTACAAAACTATGCATTTTGGAATTAATTTAATAAAATTTTTGTGTGGCAAAAAAAGTTTACATCTTTGTTGGAAAGATATACCTGTACTTTTTCCTTAGGACATACTGGCTCTTGACACATCCAGTCAAGAGTAGTTGTCTGCAAGACAGTGAAGGCTTACTCATTATTTTAAAGTAGCCCCTCTGTATCTCCTCTAAAGGCTTATTTGTTACCACAGACAGGGAAGATAAGCTCCCTCTACAGCTGATACTGCTGGGTGCCATTCATGAGATGGCACAGAGTATGTGGCAGCTTTTTGCTCTTTTCTTAAAGGGGTAGCATTATACATTCATTTTGGGATGAAAACAACAGTGATAAAGAAAAAGGGAAGCAGAGTGGAAAGACTGTAAAACACAATTATTTGTAGAAAAGGGAAGCGTACCAAAACTAAAAGACCCCCCCCCAAAAAAAGGCGCCACAATCTTGCATTTACACTTGACATAACGACAGTAAAAACACACTTCTAAAGACCTTTGGTAATACAGTGGATTAGTTTTTCATCTTTACATTTTTTGTATCACGGATAATACTACAGTTTATTTTATGGCAATTAAAAAAATATTTCATGAGCCCTAAATGGTACATCTCAGTTCTGAGGAAAGAAAAGACAGTAAATATGTTCCTTCAAGCAAATTCCAGATCTCTCAGTCAGTTGATTTGAGCCCAACTTCTGCATTATGAAGAACTACATTTTCTTAAGGCACTACTGTAATAATACTACTACCCAATAAATACTACTACCCAATAAGAAAAAAAAGCCTCATAGATGAAGATACCAAACCACCTACTGAATCACATACAAACTCAAATTTCAGCTGCCAAATTTATGCTGTGTGCAAGACTACCCCAATCTAAATCTCCCAGACTGGTATTAATTATTGTTAGATGTAGCAATATTGGGTATAAACTTACTAAGAATTAAAAAAATTGCTAGCAGTGTCTTGGGAGTATTTTTAGTTGTATACCTGATCTCATGCACCATAACACAAAGATATTGACATACCTATAAAATATATTATTAATTTGTTTCCGGATGTAAGCTCTTAGGCCTAAGAATTTCCCATATATTCTGTGAAGAGTTGTTTTAAGAAAATCTCTTTCACGAGGATCTTCACTGTCAAAGAGCTCTAAAAGCTGCAAAGAGGGAAAAGAAGAGATGCATTTTACTTGACTCTAATGCATTACGAAATAATTTAGAGCTTAAAGTTAAAAAGTCTTTTTTTACCTCACCTGTAATACAAACTTCTGATCAATATATTTCTTAGCTATATTAGGTTGGAAATCTGGAGATTCTAGAAACCTTAAGAAAAATTCATAAACAAGCTGAAAAAAAAACCCAACAAAAATAGTGTTAGTCTTTTAAACAAGGAACCATTTTATAAGCAGCACATTACCAAAATTACTAATTAGTTGTTCAGAATTGCACTATGTTTTTATTTATATACCACACAGTAAAAGCTTTGCTCTTGCTCTCCTGGCAAAGTATAAGAACTGAAGCTTCTTTAAACTGCATTGAAATTCTGCTGAGCTCCATCACTAGATTTTACTCAAATGACATACAGTAATCTAATATTCATCATGCCCAGAAGTACATGTTTTGAAAATTCTCTGTTCTCCTCTGTTTGTCACGGTACCTCTGAAAGCTAGAGCTGTGCCAGAATCAGATCAAAGCATTCACAGTGACAAACTGAAGCTCATTTAAAATCAAAGCAGTTACATCTGTACTGCAAGAAATGAGCCTTTAACCTCTAATATACTAACTGAAATTTTTTTCCAAAGATTATCGGTTTAAATTCAAGAAATATTTTAAATACTGCAGAGAAATGTAATTGACTTGAGATAAACACATAAACTAAACAATTCTCAGTCAATAAACAATGACTTTAATGTCAAAATTTTGTTAGACTATGACTTTCTAGTCTTCCTTAAATACCTGTAGATGAGGCCATGCAGCTTCTAAGGTTGGTTCATCTTCCTCTGGATCAAATTCTGCTCCCGTTGGATTGGAAGATGGTGGTAATGTTCGAAACATATTAACTGCAAACTGAAATCACATGTGCTTTTAAGAATTTTGAAACAAGTGAATGATTAAAAAGAGACTTCAAAGATTGTTTTGACTGAGAATTCTTTATATGAGCTATTTTAATTAATATTTGCAAAAATACAAGCTATATAAGTTTAAACAACAATGAGGTACATTCATTCTTCTTTAAAGATTTCTAACTTGGAGAACACTTTTCCATTCAGTACCCTTTAAAGCAGAAACCTACGGTCAGGACATGTTTTATGAGGATATTGCTCTGATCTATTTACACACACATATTTTAAAAGCCCAAGCAAATGTATATAAAATGTTTACACAAACGTTTTTTATATAAACACTTTACCAGGCCTTGCACCAACCTGCAAAAGTGGAAGTCAGAAGCAGAGATGCAAAATAAAGACTACCCGCAACTGTTCTCTGTAAAATATTATCAGTTTCACACTGTGGGTATACACATGAGGAAACACTTCAAAATCAAATTCCTCCCTCCGCCTCTTAGTGGTATTTCTCTTAAACCTCGTCCATCTACCTGACATCGTGGGGACATTGAGGGGGGAGAAATGCACATCCTCACCTTCTAATCCTTCACCTCATCCAAATTCTCAAATGCCTGAAAACCATTTAGCATCCTCACTGAAGTGGAGCAGACTCCAAAGATTAATTACTTTTCAAGTTGTTGATATATACACAGATAAATTATTTTCGTGTTTCCAAGTGCTTGTCTAGATGCACGTTCATACTGTGTATGAACCAAAGTAGTACTCTTCACAAACCCTTTTAACATGAAGAGTTTCAAAGTCCCTAATGAAGACAAAAAAACCCATTCCCTGTCATATGGACAGAAAAACTTCTCTACGAGGTCCTGTTCTAGGCAAAAACACCTCATCACTAAATGTAGCTTGAATCTTTTTTTTAAAAATAAAAATATATATAATCAGAAATAATTACATTTCTATCAATGTATACAATGCATATAATCTCAAACACAACATAAAACACATTTGTTAGCTGAAAAAAAGTCTTACATGATTTTTGGGATAAGTTTAGCACGTATTCTCAAGAGTAACCTTACCTAGAATGGTGCAAAGATTTAAAAGGTCTGCAGTATCCTAAATTCTCCACCTGAAATGATAGCTAGCAAAACCAGCTGGCTTCTCTGTGGACAAGAAAGGAACGACTAGCTAGTGATTGACATGGTTCTTCTCACACTGACAAATTAATGATTAAAACTTTACTGAGCAAGTTGGAGGGAACAGGTTTCTGTACATGACAGTAAGAAGACCTGAAAAAGCCTTTATCTGTACATGCAAGACAGCTATGGCTGTCAGTACTGAAAAGAGACTGTCTAATTCCTCAATTCCACTTGTAATCCAGAGTATCAGGTAGGGCAGACATTGGTAGGAGACAACCGAATTGCTGAGCAAGTACAAAAACATAATCTATTTAGCCACGGTAAGTGCACCCAATAGAGACTTTCTTGTTCTATTTTGTTGCTTACCCATTATCAAGCCAGTACCAAGCAGTCTAAACTTATTTTTGTACAGAATAAAAAAAAATAAAGATCAATTCAAATTAGTCTATGGTCCCAAACTGCCTCCAGTACTTCAAAATGATCCTTTGAGACAAATGCCTCAGTCTCTCAGGAGCTTACACACGTTGCAGAAACGAGAAGACTGCCAAAATAAAAACATTGTGGTGTACTGTCCTACCCCTTCATAATGATTGAGTATATTAGGCTCCATAAAGAAATTCTCTTCAAGTCTATTCCTACTTACAACACTAAAGTAAATTCTGCTTTCAAATACACAGATAATTTTGTGCTTTAGAAAAATCCTAAGATATTTTAAAGTAAATTTTGGTAGACATTTGCTCACAATGAGAATGGTGGCTATGCTGAATGGAGATCTACATCCTGCACAAAACAATGGCTGCAGCTGGCTGCATGGAGCTTCAGCATAAGGCATACATATACTCTGTTCTAAATATGTACCACAAGTACTGGTAAGAGTTAACCTATACATTGTTATTGATATTCTGTTGCTGTAACAGATTGGAGGTGTCCTTTTGCAAGTATTTAGGGGAAAAACTGCGAATACATTTCATAAGTCTGGCAAAGTAAGAGACAACAGGGCAGAGAAGCTGATTTGCCAGGAAAAAGAAAATTCTTTGCAAAAGGTTACATCACCAGGAGCAGCAGAAACATTAACAGAGCCCTTTCAAGAAAGACAATACTTGGTTCAGCAAACATGCCAGTACAGGGCATCTCCAGGACCACATGGGAAAGGGCTGGGGCCGGGGGGGAAGATTATGCCATTGGAACTTGCACTGAACCGAACGTCTTACTTGAGGATGCAAAAGAACATTTTATTTACTTCATCAGCTGAAAGGTTCCTATGCTTTCAACAAGTGTATAATGCAGCTTAATTCAAGGAAGAAAACCCTAAACCCTGCAAGTTTGAGTTTATTTATAATGCAGCTATTCAGAATACAAGGTCTACTCCAACATCACATTTAAAATCTATTCTTTATGCCACTATTTCAGTCTTTATTATGTTCAAATTCCATCACAGATAATCATCACATGTGCCATACATACATTTTTATTCTTTTCTCAGGTTTTACTGAGGTTTCGGGGTTTTTTTTGTCGTGTCCCCCCCCCCCCCTTTTTTTTTTTTTATAAAAGACA